AAAATAGCGTGCTGTGAATAGAAAAATGAGCTGGAAATGGGGAAACATGCAGAGATTAGAGAAATGTGCTGCAAATAGAGAAATACACTGCGCATAGAGAAATATGGGGGAAATAGAGAAACATGCTGCGAATAGAGAAACATGCAGAAAATAGCGCAATGCACTGCAAATAAAAAAAACATGCTGTGAATAGAGAAATATGGGGGAAATAGAGAAACATGCTGCAAATAGAGAAACATGCAGAAAATAGCGCAATGCACTGCGAATAGAAAAACATGCTGTGAATAAAGAAATATGGGGGAAATAGAGAAACATGCTGCAAATAGAGAAACATGCAGAAAATAGCGCAATGCACTGCGAATAGAAAAACATGCTGTGAATAGAGAAATATGGGGGAAATAGAGAAACATGCTGCAAATAGAGAAACATGCAGAAAATAGCGCAATGCACTGCGAATAGAAAACCATGTTGTGAATAGAGAAAAATGGGGGAAATAGAGAAACATGCTACAAATAGAGAAACATGCAGAAAATAGCCCAATGCACTGCGAATAGAAAACCATGCTGTGAATAGAAAAATATGGGGGAATAGAGAAACATGCTGCAAATAGAGAAACATGCAGAAAATAGTGCAATGCACTGCGAATAGAAAAACATGCTGTGAATAGAGAAATATGGGGGAAATAGAGAAACATGCTGCAAATAGAGAAACATGCAGAAAATAGCACAATGCACTGGGAATAGAAAAACATGCTGTGAATAGAGAAATATGGGGAAAATGCTGCAAATAGAGAAACATGCAGAAAATAGCGCAATGCACTGGGAATAGAAAAACATGCTGTGAATAGAGAAATATGGGGAAAATAGAGAAACATGCTGTGAATAGAGAAACATGCAGAAAATAGCGCAATGCACTGGGAATAGAAAAACATGCTGTGAATAGAGAATAATGGGGCAAATAGAGAAACATGCTGCGAATAGAGAAACATGCAGAAAATAGCGTAATGCACAGCAAATAGAAAAACATGCTGCGAATAGAGAAACGTTATAAATAGAGAAATTCACTGTAAAAAGAGAAATTAGCTCCAAATAGAGCAAAACAGTGTGAACAGAGAAATGAGCTGCAAACATATAAACAAGATCCAAATAGCAAGAATAGTTAGCAACTGAATAGTTAAATATGACAAAACTTGCAAACATACAAGATAATTCTCAAAATATCCCTAAATGGAGTTAAAGTTGTTAGAAAATATGCTAAAGCTTCAGTCTGAGGCATATAGTGAACTAAAACACACACATCAAACTAAGTTTTAACATGCTTTACAGAAACAACACAAAACCAAATATCCCTCAGTCATACTCTGGCCTGCTTTTGTAATAACAAAGTAACAGATTGTGTGTGGGGGCTGAGTCTGAGGCTGTGAATATTATGGTCTTGCCCAGATGTATGTGTCTGGACTCCTCAGACTGGCAGAAAGCTGGCCGCTGCTCACTGATGGACATCTGGATAGCAAATTGGTTAATGGTGCCTCCAAGCCAAAAGGTAGTCAGCCATCTCCTCACACAGCACTGCAAGAGCTGCCGCGCATCTGTGTTCCACCCATCCCAGCAAAACATCCCCCTACAGGCTTGAGAAAAGCCTGGGGAATGAGAGATGAGTAGTGCTCAGTCCAAACCAAGGCTCTTTTGGGAAGATAGCCAGTCATTATGTGGGCTTTGAAATCCTGTTTTAAGTTTGAAAGTAAAAAGAAGCAAAGCTTGTAGTTGTTCAAATACCATTAGGTCGTAACAAGTGACAAGAAGTAATGAAACATTAGCGAAAGTCCTGCACAGGTCCTGCCTCGTGGTGTAGTGGACATATAAGTGCGTTTGCGCAGGGCGACGCAGGTTCGAGTCCCGAGCCTGTCTTCTTTCCCATCCCACCCCATTCTCTCTCCCCACCTTTTTACCTGTCTCCCTCTACTGTCCTATCTGTTCACATCAAAAAAACGAATAAAAACATGATTTTTAAAAAAAGAAAGTCCTGCACAGATCCTACTGACAGACAGCGCTTGAAGCAAGTTCGAGATGAATATGCAAATATTGCAACAGTTTTTATAACAAAAATAAAAAGTGTTGAGACAGAAGTGTCCCAAAAAGGCAAGCAAACCTCTCCTAAACCTTATAGACTGCTCCATGCACTTTTTGTTTCATTGTACCAGAACTTTAAAAAACACAAGCCATATCACAGGTTTTGTACTTACAATGGTTATCCCTTATTTTCACCACTAGATGGCACCTATTTGGGGTCTGTAAAATGGTGTCGCAAATTTGCTCACATTTGAATTACCTTGCCAATTTTGTTTCATAACTCTTGTAATGTTCGTATAAAACCAAAAATATCAAATCGACTGCACGTCCCTCTTGGTGGTTCTCTGGCAGCCCCCAGGACGGGAGGGGGGCGGTGCTGCTTCAGGATGGACAGACGGACGGCGATGGAGCCAGTCAGGGACCTGGCACCTACTTTTTTCCATTTTTACATCCACATACATAGGACCTTGGGGGTCTCTGTCTCTGGGAGGGATCAAGGGGGCGGGGTGGCCTATTGCCGATCGCGCCCCCTGTCCTACCCCAGGTCAGGGACCCTAAGTTTTATTTCTACATTTAGGAATGGAACGCTAGTCTTATGCCCTCTTATTTTACATATATATTAGACACATAGGGAATGAGAGCTGGTACCTGCACATCATCTGTCAATCAACACTGATGCTCCAGAATATCACTCCCCACTTTTAAGGCATCTTACCTCTTCAACACATCCACATACACTACATTCTAACTAGGGAGTATGTGTCGTCGCTCAGAAAAGAGTGGGAATCAGTGGGAACCGAGTTCAAGGGTTGGTTAAAGTGTTTTATTAGGGATGATTCAAGGGCATATTGCAAGAACGATTTTTATGCCAAACTGCCTGACATAAAAACACATTCCGTTCTCATTGTTTTAATTATTTTTTAATTTGTTTACCATTAACCTTATTTATAAACTTTTTTTGGTGGCATTGATTAAAAAAATGTATGGCACGCGTGTCATGTGACGGTGACGTAATCTAGCAACTTTTGGGCAGGAAAAACGACTTTCCTTTCTGAAGAGTTGTCAACACTGGGCCGATCACATCATTCCTACTTCATACAAAAGAGCCGCTGTGATTGACACACACACCGTTGCGTGCAGAGACTTCTAAGAGTTAACAAGATCTATGTGGAATTTCAAAACAGCAAATTTGTGTTCAAAACAAGCCTTAATTTAATTTACGTTTCTGTTTTTGTCCATGTTACAAAATTAATTCATTGCCACTTTTTTTTTCAGAGCTCTTCTTTGTACTGGACTGCTCTTTTATCATAATCTGCTGCTACACATTTAAATTTTTTGCCAGAAGTCCTGTAACACTAATGCTGTATTGCACCACACGCTGCTCCAGATTCAATTACAGACAGATGTGATTAGGCAAGCAGATGTGGATGTGTATTAGACCATGAAATCATACCATAACACATAAATGGCCTGGACCTAAAGTCACATTTAGTGTAGTGGTTTTATGAATGATCCATTCAAAGAGCATTATCGTCACACACTGTGCATTTACATGGGAAGTGACAGACAGAAGCTTAACAAAATTAAACTAAAGCTTCCTTTCTCTGGCTTGATCTCCACCATCTGTGGATAAACAACTAACACACAGCAGTTTCCCCTGATGCCTGAACCCTAGAGGAAGTGGCCTCCCCAAAAACAGATGTGGCGCCTCCAGAGGCTTTGGGTGAGCTGTGGGAAACAACAGCTGTTCCCCTGCCTACTAGATGGAAGGGACGCCAGACAGGTATAGGTCATAAATAATTTACTGCAGATAATATTGCTCTCAGCTTCGGATTAAAATATACTACAGAGACATCTTTCCTTATTAAAATCCAATAGTATTTTCCAATATTCCAAAGTATAGTTGAAAAGTTAGGCAAGAGCATTTAAAATGATTCATCCTGTCATCAAAATGTAAAATAACTGATAACTATAACATATGTCAAGCAAAAACTTATTTGCTGCCTGCCTAGTTTTTTACCAGGCATTTTTATGTCATTACAAACGTAATAAAATAGGAAGGGGTGATTTTTCCCTGATCATGTTTTGAGGTAATCAGTTTCCTTTTAGTCAATTCTAGAGACGAATGTTGGGAATCCGACTGAGGGAAGAACTTGCCTCGGGAGTGAACAGGCCAATAAATTTGCCAGAGTAGATGATTAGCAATCATTTGGGTACATTCTGATTTGCAGACGAGCTGAACCCACTTACCTCTGGACACCTCAGATCAGTGACTTCAAGGGCATGGAATAAGAGGTATGCCCCAGATCCCTCCTTCAGGGAACAAGGGGTCATGCAAGTAACCTTGATGTTCCCTCTCAGTCGATTCAGGAGACATATGTTGGAAATCTGACTGAGGAAAAGCAATAGGCCCAAAGTCCTTCCAAACAGGCCGACGCTAAGCGTAAGAAAAAAGATTAGCAACAATGGTCATACACAACTAAAAGCGAACTTCTTCTGCCCCTGGAATTTTCTATTAATGGGGAAATTGCACAACACTGTAGAGCATTATCTGTCCTTGGGTGAGGGGGCAAGCTTCCAGAAGGAGTGCACCCCTTGACCCGTAGGGAAGACCACGTCGAGACCTATAAATGGGCCACTGGCGAAATCATCATCCTGCAATAGGGCAGGGACAAAGAGCCATCATTTCCCACCAAGACATTCCCAAGGCAAGTCACTCCCTCAGTTGCTTACGAAAAAAGGTTACCAATAACGGCCGTATACGGCTAAATGGGAACTGTTTCTGCCCCTTGCCCGGAATTTTCTATTAACAGGGAAGTCGCACAGCACCAAAGAGCGTTAGCTGTCCTCGGTTTAGGGAGCGAGCGACCAGAAGGAGTGTACTCCTTGACTCATAGGGAAGGATGCACGGAGCCCACGTCGAGACCTAGCTTTCCTTGAGCTTAGTTTGTAGAGCATTGCACGAACAATGTAAAGGTTGTGGGTTCACATCCCAGGGAAAAAGAAAAAGAAAGTGTTGGAATGGAAGTCGCTTTGGAAAAGCTTCTGCCAAATGCATAAATGTAAATGTAGAAAAGAACTAGTAGTGAAATTGTCATTCTGCAATAGGGCAAGGACAAAGAACCATCCTTTCCCACCAAGACACTCCCGAGGCAAGTTGTTCCCCAAGACAGATTCCCAACATACATCTCCGTTCCCTCTTTCAGGGAACAAGGGGTTACTCAAATAACCTAGACTTTCCCTTTCAGTCAAGTCCAAAGACATATGTTGTGACCTCTCTTTAAAGCGCCATGCCTTAAGTCCTTCAAGACAGGCCAACCTAGACGTTTTGCCACCTGAAGCTCCTGAGGAAATACCAATAAAGACGCTGATCAAGAGCTACATGGCTCTCTAAAGGCCTCCTTGCACAAATCCAAATTGAGATTTGTACAAATCGTCAAATGGCTTCTCAGCAGGGTGCTCTTTGTCTGGGAAATATTGATGCAATGACGCTCCCCGCCTGAGGATGGCATTTGTGGTACAACAGATGCTCTTTGCAGCAGACAGGGAAACAGGAAAGAAGAAGACGACGACAGAAGAAATCAAAGAAGCCACCCAAAGATTCGTACGAATCTCAAATCGGCCTCACTCTTCAGTCAGCTAGTGTGAACTGTAGATCTGACATTGTTTAGGGTGCAAGGAGGAGTCTTTTAAGGGACAGTTGAGTGATTGGGAGATCGAGGAGGCTTCTTGGATTGGAGTGTTGTTTGGGGTAGTGAGTGAAGTGTTTCTTGAGAACAAACAGAATCCCTGACAATGGTAGACGCACTTGATCCAGTTGCTTGAAAACTATATAACTTGTTTTCATCTCATGTGCGCATTTATCTCATATAGCACCTTTCCCAGCTGTGTTATTCATCACCTATCATTAATGTCCATTTATCAGCTTGCTTTCACCAGTTAAAGATGGCTTTCTCCATATGGCTGAGTGCTGGTGCTAATTATTATGAGCTCTAATAATTGTAAGGGTGCTGTATACACTGCCTGGTGTGCTGGTGCAGAGTCCCTAGAGAAGCAGTGAGTGGACTCCAGATAAACTATCACAGAGCATTCTCTGGAGAGTGTGCTCACCCGTCTGATGATGCGACTGCCACTCTGCAGCTCTCTCTCTCTCTCTCTGGGGACTGTGTCACGCTGTTTCCTGTCTGCGTTCACTGTGAAGTCAGGGTGACATTGCCAGGCTGATGTTTCATTCTGTCACAAATACAGATTTCATTTAGATTTGTCTTTCTGTGCTGTACAGGCTTTCGGCAGGATAACCAAATTTCCCTGGGAGTCTGAAGCACTTCTCTACAAATATGAGGAGGTGTTAGAATGCTCTCAAGGTTGCTCTTCCTCCATCATTACTGCCTTTCCCTCTTGGTTTTGCGGCCTGCACTAGGTATTTAATGAAACCGTTACCAAATATATGTTTAAATTGTTGAGGAACTGACACCTTATATGGTAAATGAATACACAGATTGATTTTATGCAAGATACTTCAGCCAGAACATTTCATATTACACTGATGCTAGATTAAACAGAAGTCTAGAGGCCAATTGTGCTGAGATTTAAAAAAAAAAAACATTTATGCTTTTGACAACATGTGCACTCCAATTGTTATAACACTTGCAAAACAATGTTTAAAAGGTGAAAGTCATCAATAAATGAGACGAATCAATCCAAAATCTATTTCTTTTGTGGAAGTTGTAATCAGAAAGGTGAGTTGGGATGGAACTATGTGTTTTCAGGGTGATTTTGAGTGTAAATGTGGCCACATCTTTTTCTTTGTTACATTAAATTGAATGATTTTGGGTGGTAAATCTTATTTTAACACATATTTTGGCGAAAATGCGCTCTCCCCTGAAATTCACTACCCTTTCATGTTTGCATCTCTTTATCTACCTCAGTTGTGATTAAATTTACTACAGATTTTTTTTTAAATCCAGAATTTTTACTCTTTAATTGCCAAGATACTACACAGTGCTACTGATATCTGAAAAAAAAAAAAAAGATTGTGGCCTGGATTTTTTACCTTTTATCACAGTTTGGACATTTATAACATTAATAGCAACATTTGAATTTGTACAATCCACAAGGGTTAACATCATCTTGAAACAATTACATTGTATTTGTTACGTTTGTAGCACGTTTCTGTGTTTGCATATTTCAGTGTTTTCTTTTTTGCAAGTGCTGTAATGATCATGATCAAAATGATTTCCCTAACTGCTTTTGGCAATTTTTAGAGGGGCCTTTTTGAGCGTTTTTACAGTTTACAATTTGCTCTAATAAATTATCCTTTTGAACGGCACGTGCTGCAGTAGGTAGCACCGTGGCCTTCCAGTTAGAACGTTGCTGGTTCGAGGCTCACCAGTGACCTTCCTAGAAGGAGTTTGCATGTTCTCCCTGAGCTTGCGTAGGTTTCCCCCTGGTACTCTGGTTTACCCCACAATCCCCCAAAAACATGCGGTTCGGTTAATTAAATAATCTAAATTCCCCTTAGGTGTGAATGTGTGAGTAAATGTTGCCCTGTGATGGACTGGCGACCTGTCCAGGGTGTACCCCTCCCTCTCTCTCTCTCGCCCATTGTGCGCTGGAAACCCCCGTGACTCCAAAAGGGAATAAGCAGGTTGGAAAATGAATGAATAATCATTTTTAATGGCAATGCTTTATATGATATATTTTGTACAACCCAAGCTTCTTTTTATTTTTTCACAAATATTTTGTAATTATATTAAACAAAAATTCCACAATAATTGAGTACAAAAAAAAACATAAAATTCATTTTATGAGTATTACATTTTTTTTACTGGAAAAATCTCAATGATAAGAACAAGCAGCTTTTATGTTTTATAACAACATAAAAAAGTGTTGAGACAAAATAAAAGTGTATAACGTTCAAAAAATGTGAAAACAATATATATATATATATATAAACAGGCAAAACTCTCCTAAATCTTATATACTGTTCCAGGAACTTTTTGTTCCATTTTGTTTGTTTGTGCCAGAATTTTGAAAAAAAAAAAAAAAAAACTATATCACAAGTGTTGTATTTCCAATGGTTATTCATTCTACTCACCACAAGAGGTCACTGATTTGGGGTCTGTAAAGTGAAACTGAAAGACGATCATGCATTTTCTCAGATAAGAATTTACTTGCAAATTACATGCCAAAACTATCAAAGCTAATAACCTTTTTGACATCCAATTAAGCAATAGGTGGGTCGCATCGTTCCTACTTAATTCAATAGGCCTGGTGTGATTGGCCACTGTAAAAATATTCAATTCCTCTTTACTCTTGTTGATATTTTGAATGGCGTATACCATTATAAGTCAATGTTGACCTTTCAACCCCCCCCCCCCACCTCCACCCCCGCTCCCCTTCAGAGCCTAGGGTTTAACTACTGTTTGGAATGTTCTTGTTTCTATGAGTTTCTCAGTTTGTATTGCAGCTTTGCAAAGTTTGATACCATGCAAAATCTATGGAAAATTTAATTTCCCAGATTTCCAAGAAATCCTTTAGTGGTACCAGTCTGAAAGGAAATAGCACCTCGAATCAACTTTGAAAGCCAGCATAAATATATTAATCCAAGACTAATTTCAATTACATTTAAATATGAATCTGATAAAAAATCTATATTTGCTTGTACATTTTAAATATCTCAAACATTAAGAAGGTAAAATGAAGGTAAATCATCAGAGCTTTCAAATCTAATGCTCTGTTCTCTCCTCCTTGTATTTGTTTATGCAGTTACGAGACAAGACATGTAATAAAGGTACATATTAGCCTCCTAGGCGCTAGCATAAAAACAAATCTGACTATATTTGTCTTATTGTACACTGCTGTACATGACTGGTGTGTGTAATCGGTGCATGCACAAGCGTCTGCAGGAGCTCTTGATGTTGCACGAATGCTGCAGCATCACAATCATGGATTCTACAGTGACCTCAAGAGGAGGGAATGCTGTACTACTTCATTACGATCCACCTTCACATAATTCAGAGATCTCTTGATGTAAAAAAAATGCACATAACAGTTTCAAATACCTATACATTTTATAATTGAGTCCAGCAAAAGATAGTGGTGCTTTAGGCTTTTGTAAAGTTCTTAATAGGACTCATAAGAGATGTTATTTGGGCATTTGAAATATGGCTAAACTATTGTTTATATTTGCCCAATATATGAAATGCTTTCACTGATGACTTTCAAGTTTCATCTGAAAATTTGGAGAAATCTCTAGTGAATAACGTGTTAAACATCACCCACACTTTGCTGATGGTGTGGCCACATTTAGGGGATTGGCATCGAGAAATGTATTATTTGGGCACAGAAACATTGTTGATTATAAAATAGGAGCAACTGTGTATCTGGAGTAATTGTATAATTTTCTGGGTAAAAAAACAAAAGTGCTGTGTAATAAAACCAATATTTTACTTATTTAACTAAAACTATATAAAGACTATAAAAATTATTCATTTTATTTAAGGCAACGTTCAGTGATCTCAAGGATACCGTACTTTATAAAACACAAAAAGAAGCATATCAACGTAAAAAAAATGCAAATAAAATGAAAAAGAATGTTTTAAAATGCAATGCCAAAAATCACATGCTCAAAAATAACACAAAAGAAGCACATCAACATAAAAAAATGCAAAAATGTCAATAATCATATACTGAAAAATAACTGCAAATATGTAAAAAAAAAACTTTCAGTTTAAGGCAAGGAAGATAAAGCATTCACTTGAGGTGAAGGGGTGTCCCAAATCCTTTTTGAATGAAGGTGAAGGGGTAAAACAAAGGGGTGTGTATGACCAAATGCAGCTAAAGACACACACAAATGTAACCTTATGACATTTATTAAAAATTAAAAATTCTAAAATTAGTTTTTTAATCCGCAAAACAAAAAGCTGTGTAATAAAACTGAAACTTTGTTCAAAACTAAATCTATCGACTATATACAAAGCCTATAATAATAATAATAATA